TTATATTAGGACACGTGTTTCTTGTCACATTTAAGATTGAATAGAATTAAAGACAACGAATAGCAAGAATTCATTTCTATTTAGAAAGGTTGAAATTGGCATGAGATGACCTTTTCTGGTCTTTTCATCTTTATCTGTTACTAAGTTAGTAAAACAAAACAGATGATCTAAGAGAAAAAAATAAAAATGATAACGATAATAACACGTCCTTCCACGGCGTGCTCCACTGGTATACATTACCCACTGTAACTGGCAGTAAAAGAGACACTCAACCACTACGTATAAACACACTTTAATCTTTGAGGGCAAAGACAGAAACATCTATACTATGAAATAGCCTATAGGTGATTTCTATAAGGCAGCAGGCAGCTGCAAGAAGATAAGGGAGAGTCTGAAACGTGAATTCCACACTAAATGATTGGCTGCTGTTCAACCTGTGTCTGCTTAGGGTACCCAGCAGCAAAACATGTCCCAAACAACATTCCAAATCAAGCGATACGTTCTCCTGCCTTTTCTATGATCTACACACTCGAACTCACAAACTATCAGCACCAAGAATTTTATGTGCAACAAAGTTTAAAATAAGCAACTACATTTAAAGCGTGTTCTTAAACCAGTAATAGATTATATTTATTAGGAAATTTTAATGTTTTGTTCCTCAAACACACTATATGAACCCTCAACCAATTGTAGGAAGAAATAGCATTATAATCTACATTTGGTGGATGAAGAAACTAAGATCCAAAGAGTAATTGCCCCAAGATGACAGTGAGCTACCATCTGAATCCGGGCCATGTGTCTTACCTATGCTACTAGCCCTTCCTGGTTTCCCTTCTACGGACTTACCCTTGTTATATCTTCAACTCACGTTTAAGGAAACAAAATATATTTGTATCATTTTATCTTTTACTCTATTGCTGTCTTATAAACAAGTTTAGATAGTAGATTTTTCAGCATCATTTTTTTAAGTTGTTACCAAGTTTTCCCTTAGATACTTCTTTGGAAACAGAGTTCAACCTAAGCTCGAAGGCCTCCATCCCTTCCCATATTGCTGCCTTTCTAAGACCCACAAATTGAGTGGCCTAAGAAGATAAAACAAATGAGTGAAAATGTATATTAAACAATCTCAGCAACATCTGAAATCTAAGACAACTGTTTTATGAAGAAATGCTCCTCTGCTAAAAAAGAAACCACTATTAGCACCATTGTAGAATGTGCAAATCTCAAATTTTCGCTTCTAAACAAGAAGGAGAAATTATAGCCACAGGAAAATCGTTGCTTAATGAATATATTTCACAACTTTATTAGGAAAAAATCCATAGTGATTATTGTCAAAACCCAATTGGAAGAGTAAGCTTAACTTCTATACCATCTAAGAATATAAAAAGAATATTTTTCTTTGGTAGATACAGAACAAATTGCCTCAAAAATATGATTCATGCTAGATCTCACACAGTGAGAGCACAGGTTTCATGAGTGATTAAAGATAGAAACATCTTATTTTTAAGATATTTATATTTTAACATCTTATTTTAAGATGTTATAACAGAAAAAAAGATCATAACATAGTTAAATGGTTTAAAAGTCCAGAGTTTAACCCATCATCCCCAAAGAGAAAGAATCATGATTTAAATGAGTTGTACCAAAAGTAATTATAAATAAACCTGGCAACAGAAGTCTATAACTATCTTAAATTTTTTTTTTTCTTTTTCAGACAGGGCCTCACTATGCAGTCCAGGCTGGCCTTGAGCTCACTTTGTAACCCAGGGTGGTCTCAAACTTACAATGATTCTCCTGCCTCAGCCTTCTGAGTGCTGGGATACAGGCATGTGCCACCATGCCCGGCCAGAAGACAATAAACAGTGTTTAGAAATTTAGAGATCTAGATGCATATACAAAAGATAGATAACCTTTCAATTTTATTTTTAAGAGCTATAACATCATCACCACAGACAGGTACATGATCAGAGTTAAAATGATATCTTTTTCTATGCATGGTAAAATTTAGAAACCTCCCTCAAAGACATCTGTGGGATAAAATCTAGTAAGCATACTTGATTTTATACCCTTTCAGACTTTCTCACATATTAATCAAGAGAAAACTATAGCCACAAGAGCTAATAGATACCCACAATATGCCTGGGACTAAGGAGCTCCAGGGCCAGGTGACGTTTAGGATAACATCATACATCTAAAAGACTTCATCAAGTCATCCTGGATTTAATGAGTTAAAACCTACTCCAAAGCATCCTAACTCCGAAGAAGACCAAATTGTCGAATTTCAAAGGAATCAACCACTTTCAAAAGGCATAGGCTGGGCAGGGGAATAAAGTGAGTTATTGAAATAAATGTTCACGGATGCATGTTTGGAGAATGGGCCACATCCAAAATACCTGAAACCAAGGGGCTTTGCTGCCAAGCAGTGGGAGTGGGATGGGGAAAGTCACATAGGTGCCAGGTGACGGGAAGTTTTCAGAATACACAGCCTAGGTGTTTGGCAGGAACCAGAAGCCCAGTAGACCGCCAAAGAGCATACAGCAATGCTACAAGGACATTAATCCTGGAATCACAGGCAAGATGACCTGATGACCTGAATGGCGTTGAGGGGTGGCAGGTAATAGCAGTATTACAATCCAGACAAAGGGTGAGGAGGACAGGCCTCTATGTGGTGGGAGACAAGGTAACAATAAATCTTACAGAGAAGGAGGAATATATAGCAGGGAGAATGGGAGAACAGATCCTCATGGTCATGAAGCTGTTCATCTACTGGAGGAAATCATGTGATTTAACCTGAGCTCTTTCTGATTTTCAAGGGCAAACGCATGACTATGAAGCCAATTAATAATACTCAAAAATCCACTTCACTGGCAAACACGATTTTCACTCAGGGCCAAATACAGTGCAGTTATCTAAAAACTGTCCAACAGATGCCAAAAAAAAAAAAAGTTACATGTCTAGAACTAATGGTAGATTTTGGCCTTCCATGTGCATCTGTAAGCCAACAATGTGACCCCTTCCTAGGATAAAGATAAGAAAAATGTGAGGTATTTAGTTCTGACTTTTTGAAACTCTTAAGATAAAGATATTTTATCCCTGGTAAAGCCCTAGAAGTTTGTTCTCCAATCCTGACATCACCGGAGTATATTTGCACTATTCATGGCACATATTCATCATATATGATAAGCTTCGCATACTTTGAAAATTACTCAATTGATCAGAATTATGAAACATAACACATACCAAAATACGTGTAGTATTTCATTTTCCTAAAGAAACAGTAAAAAAGAAAAAAACTAATTGACTTTCCTTAAATGAGGGAAATTTACATTCTTATTTGCCAATAAGCAATTTGTTCAAAACACTGCAAATACATTCTTTTTCATATGTTGACAAAATAGTTTTAAATAATTTTTAAAATGTGCTTCTGTATCTTCTTCAACATTATCCTTAGGTTAGGGCATTCACTCAAACTACCACGTTCACTGAAAGGAATGTTTCTTTAAAGGAAGAAATGCAATGACAGACCCCTAGAAGTCAACACTAACCACCTCGCCTCACCGACACGCAGCCATGACTGACAGATTCGACAGGAAACTGTTCACGCTAAGCAATCCTGATAAAAGTGCATGGCAACTCATGGAAAGGGGGCAACAGACCATCTGACGGAATGAGGATTTCCTTCCCACTGTAGTAAACATACTCGTGCGCACACATCTATTCTAAATAGCACATCCATGCTAAATTTCTTAAATCAGAAAGGATTTTTCCTAATGAATTCAGTTGAAGTTTTCTAAAACAGAATCTTCTATAGCTATGTGAAAGTCATTACTCAAGGTATTTTAAGCTATACGCAACCTTCTCCTGAATTCTTATGTTCAACAACTGCAGAAGCAGTGATTCAATACCAGACATATTTTGTGCTGGCCAGAAGTGTGGGGCTGACTGGTGTGGTGAGCCCAGAGCCTGCACAAGGTGTACTGGAGAATCAGGGACACAAACACAAGGAGTCCGTCAGATGTACAGCAGCACAAACACCACTCGGGACTTTGCTCTCCTTCACACACAGGCTGCTTAGCTGGTTTCAGTAAATGAAAGTTATTTTGCTTCTGGGGAAACATCCCTTCTAACTATCCTCACTGAAAAAGGAGCTGTGGAGTTGTCCCATGCTGTGTTTCTCTTACCTGCCTAAGAGGGGTAACTTGGCAGAAATATTTCTGACAGCTATAATGATACCAAAAATTCTTTGCGTTGAAAAAGGAACCGGTACACTCTAAGCGCTGAAGTTTCTGACTTTTTAAATAATTCACAATGACTACATTGTCCCTAACTGTGTTATCACATGGCAGAGCAGGAAGAATCAAAGGACACAGACAAAACAGAATCAGAGAGAACTCCGAAATTTCCTAAGAAAGTAAATTGCTGTTTGTTTTGGTCTTACCTGACTGCAGCTTGTGTAACCCACGGGATATCCTTTAGGAAGGTGGCGTATCCTTTGAAGAGCCCAGTGGCTTGTCCCACAGCTCAAGACAGACTTGAGTCCTGGAAAACTATCCAGCCCAAAAGAATACAGAGGAAAAAGCTTTTCCCACTTTCTTTGCTAGGACCAGCCAATAGCTGAAGTCATGCAGGAAACAGTGCTGAGGGCAAGCAGCTTCTCCCTGAAATCCTGATCAGCACAGATTGGAAGTTGTCTTGTGTCTCCCACCCGGACTTTTGTTTAAAAGTTTTTTCAACTGTTGCTAGGTGTTGTTGGGTTCTGAGATTGGGTTTCTCCTTTCTGTTCCCCTCACAGCGCTGTCAGAGCGATGACTTTGCTGAGGAGCTGAGCTCGCGTGTGCTATATTTATCCAGTGTTCTCAGCAAGTCACGCCTGTCAACAGCTGAGAAGTTTGGAGCCGGCTCCTCTCAGTTCCCAGGCAGCTAGGTTATCAGTGGATACAGCCCCGCTCACCCTGGGAAGATTCGGGAAACCAGCAGACCCTTTCAAGGACCTCTGCTCCCCACACAGAGGTAATTATTGTTGGAAGCTCTTATTGCAGGATGTGATTTGGGACTTGGGTTTTAAAATCTGAAAAGAAACAGAACAGCAGTTGTCTTGGGCAGAGCAATTTACCGATGCAATATTTTTCTCAATTAGACTCAGATAAGTGTTCTCAAGTTGTTTGGGTTTTTTTTTTTTTGCAGGGAGGAGTGGTGTTTTATTTTGTTTTAATGCTTTTAAAAGCGTATTACAACTGTTGGGAAATTTTGCAGGAAGAGATCATTTCCAACCAGCTTTTGACATCTGTGTGCCTCACTTACAGCTAGATCACTTACCCAATCATGAGCGGCTTAATCAGCTGTATATCTGCCTGTTATTAAAACAGGACCACCATGAAGGAATGTCTACAATGCTATGACTTTGAAAGGAGTACAGTTCAGAAGGTAAATCTCAGCATTTTCGCTCAAGTCATTCATTCGCAGGGCAAACACTCCAGGAAAATCAGAACTTCAGACATCACTAGTGGTTGCAGGCTTGTTCATCCTTAACTCTCCAGCTTCCAAATCCAGAGCAGGATCATTTCCACCTAAAACTCCAACATGAAGAATCCAAAATGACTTACTTGCTTCATTCTATATCATAAGAGTATGAATCTTCCAAGATTAGGATATATATATATATATATATATATATATATATATATATTATTCCAAGATTAGGATATATATATATATATATATATATATATGGATTATTTTACTAACTACACTTATAAACAGTAAGAGGAGAACTGTGAGGGGTTTTTCTATCCACTCTGTTCTCTGCATTTAAGTTTCAGAGAATTTATCTTCAATTCACTAAATAACTTACTAGTCTTCTATAATGTCATTTTTAGTACCTAAAGAGTCAACACAGGACTTGTAATTAGCTTTTTTTTTTAAGACATGACCTTCACCTGTAAAGTAAGTTGACCTCACATCCCAACCCATTAGAAAAGATCTTGGCTCTTCCCATCCCAGCCAACACAATGACCGACAGCCCGCAACTTCTCCCCTTAATTTGCTAGCTACTACACACACATAAAATTGCCTTTGTTCAGGCTCAGTCTTTCTGGGCCCAAGCCAATCTTGAATTTAAATTTTTAAAAAGAAACTCTACTACAATGAAGGAGCACTGTTGTGAAATGAACTGTCTCTTCTAGAACACTAATGGATGCTTTTAAAACAACCTAGTCCCCATTCCTGAAAGCGGGTGCTGATCGACGTGGGCAGTGTATGCCTGAGCTATCGAGGTAATTCAGAATCACCAGGAGGACAGCTTCAAAATTAAAAGCGAGGTGGGCGGGGCATTATTCTTTGACAAATACACACACTGTCCCCACACATACCACAACAACAGCCCAGTGAGAGAATATCACTTCTCCCCTACTAAGACTCACTTTATGGAGGCATCCAACCCAAAATGCAGCAGGAGAGTAGAACCAAATGTCCAGATCCTGAGAGGAATAACCTGCTGTCCCTTTATGGGCCTGGTTAATTCCACTGAAAGAGTGATAGTTATTTCTCCTTTAATCTTTAGATCAGCTGTCTATTATTGCTAATGGTTTGTTTCCAAGTGTGGTTATAAGCCATAGCATGCAAAGGATTGTTTATAATTACACACTGTTGCTACCTTCAAATTAGGTTCTTTTAAATTATACTGGGCATTGGTGTGTGACTGACTCAGTTCGCTATTATACCATAATAAGCTCCTCCCTCGCCTCCCCCATCTCTTTCTCTCCTCTCTCTCTCTCTCTCTCTCTCTCTCTCTCTCTCTCTCTCTCTCTCTCCCTCTCGCGCGCACACACACACACACACACACACACACACACGCGCGCGCGCGCTGTAAAGTAAAATTATTTTGAAGACTTTCCCCTCCTGGGAATAATTATTGAGACTAAAGCATTTCCTACAAAATCCACAGAGGAAGTCGTGCCATTAAGAACTATTAGAAATCTGTGTTTTGTATACAGTCGATAAGGAACTGACTTTTCAACACGTATTGTTAATATATTACTGTTCAGTTGCCTCCTTTCCCACAGTCTTAAGTGTGAGCGCTCTGAGAACCTTTGGTAAACTGCGGCTGATTTCCCAGCTTCAAGGGTGAGTCATGATGAAATTTTTTAACAAAAACATAGACTAATACTATCAGTTGTTGCGGGAGCAAGTGAGTTAAAATTATTATCTCCACAGTCATTTCTAAACCCAAACTGTCCTACCATGTTCACTTTAAAGCACAGTGATTTTTAAACCAAAAGTGAGTAAGTTATTTAATTTACCAGTGAGGAGAAAAGTAGACATTTAATAGACACTTAATTCAAAATGATGTTTACATTAACAATGTTCAGGGATGGGTAAAAGACTTGGCTATAGCCAGGAATATAGCTCAGTGTCACGGCACCTACTGGCAAGAGTGAGATCCTGAGTTCAGATGTTGGTACACACAAAAAAAGACTTGAATAACAGTTCTTGAGTCACAGAGAATTTTCCTTCTTTTTCCTTACTGAATCCACAAGCACTACATAGTAAGTGTTCAATAAACAGGAATGACTGAATGAGCCAATTAACATATAAAATATTAACAAAAGAGAAAGGAGACTACAAAACATGCAGAAAATGCTTCCAAGCTCTCTCAACAGTTAGATCATCATAGGCTATGTATTCAAGTGGTAGAAAGAAATGCTCGGTTGCAAATTAACTATCTTGAATTCGTTAAAATTTTACATGAATAATAGACTGTAGGATAATAATGAAAATGTTTCTGCAACACTTCGTATAAGCCCAGTAACTGACATACACTAACCCACTTAATTCTCACACTCATGAGATAGATATGATTATCCTTTTCCGTTTTACATGCAAGAAAACTTAAGCACACAAATACCCAGGAAGTTGACCAGGATCATATGTTATTAAGTAGCAGAACCAGAATTTGCAACAGAGTCTGGCTCCAAAGCTTTGTTACTCAGGTAACTGAGTCAGTCACACACCAATGCCCAGTATAATTTAGCTACTTTTGCATATCCAATAGTCACAGTAGCCTATTCTTAGCAATCTCTGAAAGTTAGACTAGACCAAGTAAACCCCACTCTCTTCTAGCCAAACGCATTCTTTGGGCAGGAGGGGGTGGGGGGGTGGAGTCTTGCTATTGAACCCAGGGCCTTGGGCATGTTAGGGAAGTACCCTATCACTGAGTTACATCCCCACTCCTAAACAGTACACTGGAAGTTCCACAGCTTTGGTGGCAAAAAAAAAAAAAAAAAAAAAAAAGCGGGTGGGGATGGGGAATAATTTTGTGTTGAGCATAGCAAAATAAAAATTCATTGGAATTGAAGCCATGTAGAATATCAGAGAAGAGCAAATTGGCCTGAAAAAAGGATATTATTTTAGGGAAAAATGTATTTTTAACCAAAGGATATGAGCTCATTAGCATTCTAAAACAAGCAACGTACAATGTTTTCTGATGAATGAGTCTACTGCTTGATGAAATTCTAAAATTACATTCTGAAAATACACTTTTGGTCTCTGATTTGATAAGCAGTGTGAACATGTTTGTGAGTTATGTATTCACAACCAAAACTTCTCAAAGATACCAAAAAGAGAGGAAGAGAGAGAGAGAGAAACACATATAAAATGAAGGGTATGAAAATCATACATCACCTACTTTCAATATCAGAATGATATTACATTACACTGCATATAATCAGGTTTTACAATTTGAAAATACAGTACTTGAATTTTCCACCAATCTAGCTATACTTCTGTTTAGATTTTCACAAAAGTTTAAAGGAAATAGTGCTAATGCTGTGAGGTAACTGTAAATATTCATAAAATAACTACTTGTCCTGCTGATAAATAAAATAAATATTGTATACCTACAAATATTCACAAAATTCTAAATTATTTTTAACTACTTCCAAAGAATATCCAAAGTGAGGCTAGTTTAAAAAGTAGTTACAGCACAATATTACTTCTCCATTTGCCTAAGCAAAGCAAATATTTCTTTGCATGTATTAGACACTAAAATTCCCACATTTCCTACCTAAGTGCTTGAAATTGCATGATTAAAACTTAACTCTGGCAGGACCCCATCTCACAAAAAACCAAAACAAAACAAAACAAAAAAACCCTGGAAGTCATTATAGGCACTTGCAGGTCACAAACTTCCTACTTTTTAATACAGTTAGACAGCATTCTCCTAGGTATATTTTCTGCTTCCTTTCCTGTGAGATATGACTCACTCTTGCTCAATACTCTAATTTTTAGTTGGAACAAATTGCTTTCAAAAAAATTTTTAAAGAGAATGAAACTTACAGTGTCTCCAAGAAATAGGCATGGGATATAAAAGCCAATGACTAGCCACAAGGCTACACATGCATTTTTCTGCACAATGTTTATAAGGCTTGAACATAAATATTAGATCAAGAGCCATAGTTAATTATGAAAAACCAGTTGTTATCAAAATATATTCAGTAAGATTTTGTGCTCTCAAGTCAAGCAAAACTAGTCTGAACTCAGACTTCATTACTTACTAACTTCAGACTATTCACAATAGCCAAGCCCCAGCAGCAACCTGAATTCTGTCTGTAACTGAATGGTTAAACTGGGGTTAGGTCCCGTAATTGCAACCATTAGAGCATTTACTCATGGCAGTGTGGATAAATCTCTTAAACAAAATTCAAGTGAAAGAACCCTGACTCAAAAAGAACAGTGCATGATTTCATACAGATCTGCTCAAAAATAGACAAAGCTACCTGTGACGGCGAGGACAGTCACCCTTGAGAGGTGGGATGCACACAACGCACCAGAGAAAGGCTCCGGCAGCGTCGGCGATGTCCTGTGCATCTTACAGTGTGCGCTCGAGTAGTGAAAATTAATCAGAGTTACTAATGATTTGTACATTTTTCTGTCTGTAGGTCATAATTTAATAAAAAGTTCAAATTAAAAGTAATTTAAAATGTATAATGCCTAAGGGTCCTTGCCTTCTGAAAGACTGACAAATGAAATAATATAAAGTCTGAGATTTGCCTCAGAACCACCCAGTGTGTAGACAGGAGGAGAACTGATGAAGACATAATGAAGTGGCGCAGGGCAGGAAGCTGTGAAGCAGGTGACAGCTACACATTGTGTGCACTTCCTAATTTCATGCGAGCATTAAAGTCTCTGTTACCAAATGTATTTAAAATAGTGCTTACTGTCAGGTACATAAAGCAGGCATTCAATAAATGTTAATTATTCTAATTATTAATATTATTGACAATAATATCTGTAAACTCAATCCTTTGGATCCAACTAAGTCTTTTTTTTTTCTTTTTTTTTTGTCTTTTTCGGTACCAGGGATCAAACTCACAACTGCCTGCTTGCAAGGCAGGCGCTTATGCCGCTGAGCTAAATTCCCAGCTCTGGATCCAACTAAGTATTGACGCAGAAATCACATGGAACTCCGCGGAGATCATGAGAAAAATCAAGAAAAGAACTGGATTTGTATTAATAGACGCCGTTAGCAACTGAGATGAAAAAAATGAACAACAACAAAAAAGAATCTAGAAAGCCCTGTGTTAGCCAATTAGTTCACAAATCACTGGAAAACAAACTCTTTGCTTGCTTGCTTTGCCTACCTGATAATTAAAAGGCGAAATAGTAAGAAAATGAGGCCAGAAGAAGCACTGAGCAGAGGTCTCATCACACGCAAGTCAGACGTGCAAATGGGAATCTCAGGTGAGAAACATTCAGAAGCATTTGAATTTGGTATTCATCATATAGCTCCGTGAACCCTCATTGCTAATATTTATATTGTTTTTCCCTCTAATGATGTGCTACCAATTCACCTCCTACAAGAGGTGGAACAAATGCTCAGATAAGAAAGTGTTTTAAAACATGAGCTATTAAACTTACATGCCTCCACACCTTCCTTTTGATAACCTATCTTGAAGACTGTGAAATAGATCAACCACATGTTGAAATAATAAACAAATTTCTTTTAAAACCTTATGTTGGGGTGGGGATACAACTCAGTAGCACAGTGCCTGCCTGGCAACTACAAGGTCCTGAGTTTGATTTCTGGTACAAAAAAAAAAAAAAAAAAGACACCTTATGTCAAATATAAAAATGAATGTAGGAGTTGCAATCATTAGAGATTCCAAAAGTAAATGGGAAGTACAAGCAGCAAATTTTTAAAAAAACAAAAATTAACCTCCATAAGCTAATTATAAGTCCTGTGTTGACTCTTTAGCCACTAAAAATAACATTATAGAAGACTATTAAGTTATTTAGCCAGTTGAAAATAAATTCTCTGAAACTTAAATGCAGTGACAGGTCATGAAACACCACGAAACATAGTATCATGGCATCTTAGTGGAAGGTAGGTATACATCCATATATTCCCTCTCTAACCCATGGACTTGCATTTCTACAGAAGCACAGGAATATACAGGTGAATAAACAGGGCTATGTGTATGTGTGTGCTGAAATAGATAAATCATAACAATTACAATGGTTTTGTTTCCTAAGCTTCATGTATTGGTATTTCATCCTCTTAATAGAATAATAAAAGATTCTATAAAAATCATTTTTTACTGCGGTGGTTTTTTCATAGTTGCTGGGATGGAGACTTGGTTCATGCTTTGTATAGTTTGCCTGTTTTTGTTAATACTCAAGATTCCAGGGAAATGTAAAAATTAAGCAAATGAGCACAGCTGAATTTTGCCTGGTGTGGGTCTGGCATTCAATTTCATTAACTTAATCCTTCTTAATAATTGTTCACAAGAAAAAGAAACTAATCACCTCGTGGTTCTTCAAAATGAATTAAAGCTGTTTGTTTGGCTTCTGGGGATTTATATGGATTTTTCTGCTCTTTTGTCCTTGAAAACATCTGAACTCTCCATATTGCCACAATGTTTCTCTCATTTCTGTAGATTTCTCTTGTGACACTTTCCCCCTGAGCCCCAGATTGCATGTAGGTTCTACCTGACAATTCTGTCTGGAGCAGAGAAGAAATATTTTTTCCACCCAGCTATCCTGTTGCTGTTGACCTCAAGTAAAACAGAACAGAGCAACACTTTTATACTTTCTTAGCAAGAGCTGGAACATGACATCACTATCTGAATATGTCTTATGGTAGCAAGAACCCTGGGAAAAAGGAGACTTTGCTCTGACCCCAACCAGCAAGACGATTTTTAAAAATGATTTAATCCTCTCAGGCTATGTCGTCAGTTGTCCAGTGGGGATAATGAAATTTAGTCTACACCCCCCTAGGCCCCCCACCATGGCTCCAGTCATGATACAAAGATGCTGGGGGTGGGGGGCAGTGTCACACATGCAGGAAGGGAGTACCAGAGACAGAGGGTCATGCTGCTTGCTGTCAGGTTCACCCCCCCAATCCATCCACTGACTAAAATTCACCTAAAATAAATTTCATTACCTACAATGTGTTACTTGTAAGGGTTTTCTTTCCAGCATCTTTTTTTGCTGGAACATATTTGATTGCTTAGGTTTTTATACATAATTCTAAACTGCTGAAAATATTGTCAAAGATGTGAACACAAGAAAGTGAGAGTGTTTATTTTCCAAATTTGCTAATTTAATTAGTCGTGGCCTTGCTAAAGGAGAGAAAAATGTTACACTTCTAAGGCCAAACTGTGTTTGTTTATGCCAACAAATAACATTCTAATATTTGTGTCAATGTCTACTCAAACATTCTGTCATCTATTAAATAAGTGCATTTGAATAGAAATTGACCCACAGTACTTGTCAGAAAATGAACAAACATGTTGCAGAAGCAATGGACAACTCACGAGTTCTGCAAACCTCCAGGGAGCTGGCGAGGAGGAGAGCAGAAGCAGAATCTTTGTTGGACCTATAAACCACAGGATTGGCCCACCGTGAGCCAGTTCCCTCAAGAATATGTTTGCTTCTGCAGGATTCAATTTTAATACGCCTTAGAATTTGTGTTATAGACAAGCATGGTACAGTTACTCTGTGCCTCTAAAGCGTTTCCCATGGGGCTGGGGATTTAGCTCAGCGGCATAAGCGCCTGCCTTGCAAGCAGGCAGTTGTGAGTTCGATCCCTGGTACCAATAAAAACGAAAAAGACCAAAAAGAAAAACAAGCAGTGTTTCCCAATGGAGAGAAACTGTGCCCTCCATGGGGCATCTGGCAATGTCTGGAGATATCTGCAGTTGTCACGACTCAGGGCTGAACTTGTAGCCACTGGACAGAGGCCAGGGGTAATGCTTACTAAGTATCCTTCGATGAACAGGAGAGCAACCCAGGGTTTTCCAGCCCAGAACACCAACAACAGTGTCAGAGCTGAGAAACTTACACTGAAAGATTTTAAAAACTGTAATAATCAGACAAGAACGCCCTCAAAGGCTCAGAGTTTGCCAATGACCTTGAGGCAGATACATAAGAAAATAGAAAAAGCCAAAAGAGCTATAAGAAATATACTGACAAAACTACTTAGACCTTTAAGATCAGGAACATTTTTGAAAAATAAAACATGTAAATATCCATTCTAACAGTCCTAAAATAACTAAATTTAAAAGTGCTAGTGATTTTTATAATTCCTTTTTAATAAAGATGTAGTAACCACCGAATATTTATAGAAATAGTTGCTTCACTCCTGAAACTGAATTAAATTCTGTGAGAAGACAGAACTGAGAAAAGCAGAGTCACCCTTCTGTGGCTCTCAGCATGTTCCCATCTCTAATTGCACACAAGCATTTCAAATCTTACCTTAGTGATGCCATGAGTGCTGGTGACACGCCGGGCCTCGAAAGGCACAGGAGGGAGCTAGGACAGCCAGGCACCTGCTCTGGAGGAGCAGACAGACAAAACTTAACAAGTGCATAGCTCCAAGGCAAAAATATCGGACTGTGACCCAATAGCCCTGAAAATCTCTCCTCACCATGAAACATCTAAAAATTCCAGCTAAAAATACCACATTCTTTTAGAAACCCAGCAGAACATGAAAGAAACAGCAGGAAACCCATAAGGGTCAAAAACATAGACAGAACAAAAACCAGGACAGCACATGGCAGCTGACAATGAGGTTCTTGGGGCACAGGTGGTGGATTAATTTCAGGAACTAATCAATTTTAATGATCAAATGGGGATAACATATATGGGAAGTCTCTTCCCATAAAGATTTAGAATCTGGGGATTATAGCAGACAGGTGAGCACTTCCCTAGCACGTTGGTGACCCTAGCTTTCAACTCCAACACTGGAAAACAGAAGGATCTGAAACTAAGATCCCTGGATAAAGCTGGAAATTTGAACTTTTTTAAAAAAAATAGGCCTAGAGAAATAAGAAGGACAAAGGATGAGGAGGTAGTTCTGGCAGAGGGAATCATGTGCCCAAAGGCTCTAATGTGCAACAGAGCACAGAACCTTCCAGGAAAACACAGAAAGCAATGGTGAGACATGGGAAGGAGTCTTCAAAGCTACCTAGGAGTCCGGTGATGCAGAATGGAGCTTGCCAGCCAGGATCTGGCCCATATCATGATGTGTGGGTGTTCTTAAAATAGCTGTCAGAGGTTGAAAATAAAGACATATCATATAATAATTCACAGATTCTGAAAAATTCAAAATATCTGTCAAGAATGGGCCTACATTCTCACATGGCTGGAGTCAGTTGAGTTAACCTCCTTGAGACAAGAGCTGGTCTCATGGTCACCACTCCTCCAGCTCAATCTTTTCCTTCATTTAGATCACATATTTGGCCTCTGCAGGCCATTGAATTCCCAATTGCTGATTGAGGTCTAAAATGTGACTCCCAAGAGTCACATGTGTTCATAGGTGAGGCTTTAAGAAGATAATTGGATCATGAAAGTTCTAACCTTCCACTGATGAGGCTATAAGGTTAATGATAGGTGATGGAAAATTAGGTTGGACATAGATGAAGGGAGTAGGTGATGGTGATGGTGATTGGGTTGTGGACTGTATCTGGCCCTTGAAACCTTCTTCTCTGCCTGGTTTCTCTGCTGTCTGGCCACCATGAGGTGAGCAACTTTCCTCCACCATACCCTTCCACCCTGGCATTTTCTGCCTCACTATAGGCCTAAAAGCAATGGAGCCAGCGGACCATGGACTGAGCGTCTGAAACCATAAGCCAAAATAAACCTTTCTTCTTTTAAGCTGTTTTTGTAAAGTAGGAAAAAGTGATGAAAAACTAACACAAGGATCTTACAGGTTATGGTTTAAAATTTTAAAAAACTGATTTTATATGAAAACAAAGAATAGCCTTGAAAAACTTCAGGCAAAAAAATTATATGGCCATATATATATATATATATATATATATATATATGTATATGTATATATATATATATACATATATATATAATATATATTCCATTCACTTTGTAAAAAATAAACTGCACAGGACTAAGAATGGAAATAAGAATACAAATGAAACTATTACATGAACCCAGTAGAAAGACTATGGTGGCTTAACACACAGTGGTAGAAATGAAAATGGAAAGATGTAAGTAGATTCAAAGTGTGTCTTCAAGAAAAAAATTTACTAACAGATTTTTAAGGGTGAGGGAAAGAACACAAATGACTTGAATTCCATTATCAATAACTGGAGTTCTGTATATTGACAAGCGAAGGAACAGTATTAATTGATACTTCTCATATGATTAGTGGATAATTTGACATATACAAGATGCCTGAAAAAGAAGCCCTACTCCACTCAGAAGCTTTAATCCTATAGCTAAAATTAATGTAAATATATGTACATGAGGTGATAAAAATATAGTGAATACATTTTTAAAAATTTATTATAGTAAAAGACACATTGCTGATAATCTCCCTAAAAATACTCTCTCATGCTGAGCACACTTACTCATCATTCCTGCTGCCAAGCAGCTCTAGAAATTTTCTTTCATGAGCATCTTTATGAGATGTGATGGAAAACACAGTGAGTACTCTGCCACCTGGTACCAGCCAACAGACAGGCAGACTTATAAAAACACGGTGATGTGTCCTAACCACCTTACGCACCAGCGCAGGCACCATGCAACTTCCGGGTCTTCCCCAAAGTAAAAACGACCATAAAAGTAAGTGTTTTGATTCAGTTTAGGACATCTAGGTACTCACAATACAACTAAATACACAAAATAGTCTTCCGGAACTGCTTCAGGAAAAAAAAAAGTGGTCAGAACCATAGGATAAGGTAGTTGAAATGGGGGATATTTCGAGGTGATTGAAAGCGGTGTGTCTTTTACTGTAATAAATGCTTTAAAAATTAAACCTTCACCATATATTTGAATCATGTCTCATATTTGTGACCAAACTAAAAGAATACAACATAACATAGCTCATAATAACTGACATTTATAGAGCCTACAATATATATCCATACATGGCATTTAATTTTCATAATATGTAAAGCTAAGCATTATTATCATTAACACTCTAAATAGAAAAATAAAGCCAGGAAAATTAGATAACTAGCCCAAGATCACATGGGTTGCAATTGGAATTTGGCTCAAGTCCATTTTTTTCAAATAAGTACACTAGGTTGTTTGAATACTTGGAATGGAATGACAAATTTCCCTGCATAC